AACTATCTACTGGGGCTTTGGGGGAAGAAAAATAAATAAAATAAAATAAAAAAACTTAAAAATAAATAAATAAATAAATAAAATTGCAACCGCTCCCGCTAACACTCCCAGATCTTTACATGCTTTTTTTTTCTTTTAGTGAGGAAGATTGGCCCTGAGCTAACATCTGTTGCCAATCTTCCTCTTTTTGCTTGAGGAAGATTGTTGCTGAGCTAACATATGTGCCAATCTTCCTCTGTTTTGTATGTGGGATACCGCCACAGCATGGCTTGATGAGTGGTGCATAGGTCTGTGCCCAGGATCTGAACCCGCGAAACCCAGGCTGCTGAAGCGGAGCACACGAACTTAACTATGCCACCGGGCTGGCCCCACCTGCTTTGTTTTTTACCATAGCACTTATTACCACCCGAACTATTATGTATTTTTTTCTCTTATTATCTGCCCCCCCACCAAAAAATGCCAGCTCCACAAGTGCCTGGCACACAGTAGGTTCTCAGTAAATGTTTGTTGTATGAATGTGTGAAAGGGCCTGGGTTGAGGACTCCCAACTCTCTTGGAGTGGTGACTCGGTGACTCACAGTTATTTAGCCAATAAGACATGGGCAGGTTCCAGCTCGTGACCACTTCCACCATGGACCGGGGCAGCTCCACATTCAGTGGCTTGGACACTGTCAGGTCCCTGTGGGCAAAACAGACACGCAAATTCATCTGGGAGCTCAACTTTATCTTGGCTGTTCCTTCCCCCGGGAGCACCCCCCACTCCTCCCTGCAGATCCTCTAGGTAGCACCCTGTGGGAGAGGGGGCCCCTTGGCCCTCCCCACCATTCCAGGTGATCCTTCTCCTCAGTGAAGCCAGCCCCTGCCAACGTGGCCGTGGCCTCGGACAGAAAGCCCACAAAATAGTTGCTGAAGTGGAAGGAGACAGCACTCTCGTAGGCTCGCAGCCACCTGGGGAGAAAGGAGCAGGGCAGAGAGGCATCATGCCCAGGCCCCAGCATGGCACCCCACCATATGTCAGCATCCCCGGCCCCATTCTATAAACTCACCTTATCATGGTGCCCCTAGGGCCCCCAAGGGTCAGGAAGGCAGCAGAGAAGGAAGGAAAGAGAGTCAGAGAGGCCCTGGAGGCTGGCCTGAGTTATTCGTAGACAAGACAGACAGAAACATAGTGGCAAAAGAAGTGCACTGTAACAGTCATACACATACATACACTGTCAGTTTCACGTGGCTCAAACAGATATAGAGCTGCCTTATAATGTGACACTGCAGCCTCACCTGGCCAGACATCCAGACCCAGCCACCATCAGAGGCCTGACTGCACAGCCCTACACCCTGACACAGCCACGTGGCCAGAGGCAAATACTATCAGACTCCCAGCCTCACAGCTTTCTAACCTGACTCAGTGACTACAAGACACACAACAGTCCTTTAGTTAGGCCTGGAGACCAGCAAGCACCTGCTATGCACCCACACACAATTCTGCACTCAGGATAATCATCCCGTCAGTCGTACAATCAGACATGGTCAAAAACAGGCAGCATCCTGCCCTGGAAAAAGCGTAGGTTCTGGAACCAGGCCTGGATTAATGCCTGGCTGCTTAGCTGGGTGACACTGGGCAAGTCACTCCACCTTTCGGAGCCTCATTCAGCATCAGACACAGTCAGCGGCCAGTGAGTGCAGGAGGGAGTCATACAATCAAACAGCTGCATGGAATCCTGCAGTCACACCAGAGGCAGATGGTCAGTCCTGCAGACAGGCACAGGCACACAGTCGGTCATGACCCCTCAGCTAGACAACACCAAGCAGCCACAGAGGGCAGACCCACAGGCAGAGTCCAGCACAGACAGGCACACAACACACTATAGCCAGACCCATTCCCACCCAGAGTTACAGACAAGCCTGACTCATCCAATGACAGCCACACACCCCATCATTGACAATGGCACAGCCAGCCAGCAGTCCAGTCTCACACAAAGAGTCAGTGGCTGATAGCCAAACAACCCATCCACAGTGTCACCCCCCCCAGCGTCACCAACCAGCACATACTTGTCACTCCCCATTGCAGTCATGTAACTTGTTTCTAATGGTGAAACAGTGGAACAGACGGACAGCCAGACATGGTATGTGTTGGAGTGTCAGTCATACACAGAGTCACAGAGGCAATCTTGGTCAAACAACAGCCACAGACAGACACTCAGTCTCTGCCTAGTCACAGGGTAGATGGTCAGACAGTCTCAGACTTCCAGAACCAACCATCACAGACTGTGCCTCCCCCTCCAGTCAGCCCCACTCGCCCTCAGCACCTGCCCTCATTTACCTGGCTTTGCGTTTCTTGCTGTAGTAACAGAAGACAGACAGAAGCATTAAGAGACAGGCTCAGAACTAGGGAGACCCCAGGGCCCTACCCAACCCCCTCACTGCTGGGCAGAGGCCTCAAAGGCTGTGCTCACTTGCGAAGGAGGCGGTCACCATCAAGGGGGATGAAGTACGGGAAGAGGTAGGGGCCCACACAGGTGGACAGCACAAGGCACAGCAGGGCCAGCGCCAGGCTCCGGGCCACCTTCTGCAGCCATCGGCGGCTCTGTGGGGATCAAGGCTCCATGAACACTGTCCTGTGGTGGCTCCCACAGTCCCTCCCCACCTGTCCACCCAGGACCTCACCAGCGGGTGGCCTTCGACAGCCTGTAGGTAGCTGTGGAAGGATATCCAGGGCCCAAAGACGATGGTGCCCACAAAGTAGAGGTAACCCATGAACTCCACGGGTGAGGGCACTGCACCAATCACGCCTCGGTCCAGGTCGAAGCCCAAAGACACCGCCTTCATGGCCACGATCATCTGGGCCCCTTTGTGTGGCACCCACGGTCAAGTGGACAGGCATAGAGCAGGTCAGCATGGGGGGATGGGAGCACCAGGTGAGAGGTGGTAGGAAAAGAGGAGGACAAGGGTGAACAGGTGGGCGTGAGGTCAGACAAGCGGGTGAGCAAGTGGGCACAGGACTGGCAGATGCCCTTACTCAAGAGAGTCAGGCACGTACATGAGATGGGACAGACAGACGGGGCGGGGGGTGCGGGGAGGCATGGTAGAGAGAGACGCAGACGTCAGGGGAATCTGAGGCCTGCATGTCCAGTGGGGTGGGCAGATGAAGGAGAAAAGTGGGGAAGGAAAGACAGGGTTGGGAGAGTTAGGGGCTGTGGAGTGTGGCAGGAGGGCTGGGGTGGGTGAGAGGGCCAGAGCTGCCTACCTCGCATCTTGTGCCATGTCACGGTGTCCACCATGTGCATCTCACTGAGGAAACAAGGTGGTGGTCTTGGCCCCATGACTCCCATGGCCTCAGAGACCACAAAGGGGGGAAGCAAGGTGCAGAGCGGGTTATACCTTCCCCTGTCCTGCACAACCTCACAGAGGAATCATTCTCCAGGCCTCCCTCCTCCAGGGGCAGCCCAAGTCCAGCCTGTCCTGTACAGCCTTTAGAAAGAACAAGTCTCCCAGATTCCCTCCTCCAGGAACACCCCACGCCCCGCTGTCCTCGACAGCCTCGCGAGGAGTGGCCTGGGGGCCCACACTGCCAAAGTGTGGGGAGGAGGACTCACAGCCATACCCCATGAGTAGGTAGATAAGGATGGTGACGGAGAGGAAGACGCCACGATGGGAGGAATGTCGGCAGAGGAACAGCACGAGGTAGCACAGGAGGCTGAGCAGCACGACCCAAACCATGTGCAGCTGGAAGAAGTGGTAGAGGCTGAAGAACCCGCCTGCCACGGTGCTTGCGTGCTTCAGGTAGGATGGCAGCCCTTCGGGTGAGAGAGAGAGAGAAGAAAAGCAAGTTGGGTGGGTGGTAGGAAGGGAGGGCAACCTGGGTAGAGGGCACAGCCTGGGCAAAGGCCTAGAGGTTGGAATGTGGTGGGATTGCAGGGGGCCCAAAGCAGGTGGTGGGGAGCTGGAGAGGTGGCAGGGCCTGGGTTTAAAGAAAATAAACATCTATAAAGGGCATTTGGGGAACCCTGAAGGAAATCTGAATATCAACTTAAATTGGATAATATTATTGCATGAAGAATACATTTCTTGAGGGGTGATGTTTGAGGCTGTGGGTTTTGGGGGGAGATGTCCTTGTTCTTGGGGGGCACACATTGAAGGATTTGAGGTGAAGTGTCAGCAGGTTATTCAAGTGATTCAGGAAGATGATAGATAGATAGATAGATAGATAGATAGATAGATAGATAGATAGATAGATAGAACTAATGTGGCAAGATGTTGATGGAGAATCTGGTAATGCACATATGGGTGTTCATTTTACTGTTCTTTCAATTTAACTTTTTTGTAACTTTGAAATATTTCAAAAGGATAAACCTGGGAAAAATAAAACATCCATTTAAAATAAAAGAAAAACACAGGCTGGCCCTGTGGCTTAGCGGTTGAGTGCGCGCGCTCCGCTACTGGTGGCCCGGGTTCGGATCCCGGGTGCGCACCGACGCACCACTTCTCCAGCCATGCTGAGGCCATGTTCCACATGCAGCAACTAGAAGAATGTGCAACTATGACATACAACTATCTACTGGGGCTTTGGGGAAAAAAAAAAGGAGGAGGATTGGCAATAGATGTTAGCTCAGAGCCGGTCTTCTTCAGCAAAAAAAGAGGAAGATTAGCATGGATGTTAGCTCAGGGCTGATCTTCCTCACACACACACAAAAATAATAATAAAAGAAAAGAAAAACAAAAAAGAAAGTGTACAACCTTTGAATTTCAGATTTCCAAAATTCTCAGCATCCTATAGGAACCTTGAGGAATTGGAATCTTATTTGGATATAGGCTTGCCGTGATTGTGGAAACATTCCAGAATCCTAGAATCCAGAAATCGCATCATGCCTTGATTCTAGAAATCCAGAATTCCAGCATTTTGGAAGCCTAGAATGTGAGAATTTCAACTTGTCAGAATCCCCAAACCCTGTAACATGGTACTTTGGTATTCCATAACCCTGTGACATGAGTATTCCAGGGATGTAGACATTTCAGGATCCCAAGATCCAGGAACCTCAGCTTTCCAGAGTCCCAGAACCTAGGAATACTGAAAGGCATGGCTTGGCATGGCAGGATGTGTCTTGGTGTGCTGTGGCATGGGGTGGCTGGCTGTAGTAGGACGTGGTGTGATAGAATGGCGCTTGGCCTGGTAGGATGTGGTGGGCTGGGCATATTGGAACCTGGCTTGGCTTGGCAAGACGTGGCAGGATAAGGTGTGACTTGGTATGGATGAATGTGGCAGGTGTGTGGCACATGGCGTGGCAGGCACTTACCGAGCCTCCAGAGGAAACGGCAGGCGAGGCAGATGGCAAGGAGCAGCCAGATCTGGTCAAGGCCCTGCTGGGCAGTAGGAAGGAGACAGCCCTGCAGCAGCTGCTGGAAAAATTCCTGGCGGCTGAAGGTGGCCATTGTGGACCCCTACAGATGGATGGACAGATGGATAGACCTGCCAAAGGGGGGACACAGAGGGAGCCCAGATGTCCATGGGGCAGACCATGCTCAAGGGATGGACTTGAGCACTCAGATTTCAGTTTGGGGCTGTCCAACCCATGTAGAGATATGGTCCTGGGGGCCCTGGGGGAGGGTGTGAGTGTCAGGTACATTAGACTGAGCTGCCAACTGTGTGTATGTGGGTGTCCTGGGTGCACACACACAGCCCACGACCTGCGGTGAATGAAGGACCTGTGTCTCTTGTATGCTATGAACAGTCCGGGTCCAATGGTGATTGAATGGTGTACATTCTAGGCCCGTATATCAAATGGCGGGGACCCCCTGGTTTCCAAGGTAGACTCACTCTGTGTGGAGGGCAGACAGGGAGATCCTGTGACACTTGGGAGCCGTGTGCATCTCTCCTTGTACGGATGTGGGGGGTGTCCTGTATCCCCCGCACGCCTCATCTCACCCCCACCCGGCCTCTCGCAGCCGCCAACAAAGCCCTGCCCAGGCCTGGAGGCTGCAGGGAGGTGGAGGTGGCGGTAGGGGGCATAGCAGGAGGGGGGATCGGAAAGGTGATGGAGAGGGAGCCCCAGGACACGCGCTGCAAACCCGCGCGGAGAGGCCGGCTCAGGATGGGAGCGGTGGAGCCGCGCGCGCACTACTGACGACCTACCTGGCAGGAGGGAAGCCGCAGTCTTGGGGCCGGGGACGCACCACCACCGCCACCGTCGCCGCCTCCTCCGGGCAGCCTCCCCCGCAGGCCGCAAGGCCGGGACCAGCTGCGGCTCCCAGAGCGGCGCGGAGAGCGGGCCCTTTAAATCCCGGGAAGGCCCGGCCGGCCACCTCGGCCAATGAGAGGGCAGGAGCGGGGCGGGGCCCCAGGAGGAGGGAGGATCCAGGGAAGGAGGAGCTGGAGGTTGAGAGGAGCGGGGCGCGGGAGGGCGTCGGCGCGCAGAGCGTTAGCGCCCGCACCTTTCCGGCCTCCAAGTGTTCCAGGCCCTGAACGTTTGCGTCTGGAGGTCCTCTGGCCGTCCGAGAGCAAACTTTCGAATCGTCTAATTCCTAATCCTTGGAAGCTGAGATGGGAAAGCGGGGGCGGGGGGGGCGGGGGGAGGGGGCGCGTCCTCGTGACACTGTTGTGCCCCCGTTTCACGGATGGGAAAATAAACCCAGATCTCTCCTTCTCCATCCTTTGAGAGAACTAAAGGAATTTCCAACCCTCCCCACCCCCAGGGACGGGCCAGAAACATTTAATAAGTACTGACTGGGGTCACCTAAGAGCACGAATTAGGCGCCTGTGCTTCCCCTAGGGACTCCTTGTGTGCGCTTGGCTTGTCGTTGAGAACTGATTTTCCTGCTTAATTACCCACCGGACTCACCCCTGCATTGAGGGTGACTCCAGCAACTAGTGTGTTCCCTGTGAACCGGAAGGCTGGTACGGAGCACCGATCGGGAGCGTTTCTAAAGCATTTACAGTGTCCCCAGCAATGGTTTGACTTGGGCTCTATCTGCACCAACACTGAGGATATATGCAGCACCTGCTGTCTGCCTCCCCTACCCTGCAGTGTGCAGTGTCTGGGCGCTCTGTTCTGTCCCTAGGCTGATAAAGGGCCTATTTTTCCAAACAAGCACTTATTGGGCACGTACTGTATGCTTAGCTATGTATAAGGTGGAAGGGAGAAGGAAGCCAAGGTCAAGCTGGATCCCACCATGACCTGAGGAGCTAAGGAAAACAGGTTCTAATCAGATTCATGCCTGCCTGTATGGAGCTGGGCAAGTCATGCCCGCTCACCGGGCTGCAGTGTCCCTTTCTGTTAAAGAAAAGAGTGGGATTAGCAGTTCTTTGCTTGGAAATACCAATGGCAATTGAAGAGGAATGTATAAGTCTCCCCTCTTTGTTTTAAAAAAATGTTAACATGAAGTTAAATGGAGTTTTAACTCATAAATTAATATTGATGTATTACAAATGAAAAATATTTAACACAGTAAGAATATATATAATGAATGAATTACATAGGCCAGATACACCAATACTAATTCTTTTCCTTAACAGCAGAATAAGGTCATAACTTTTATTTATGATTTAGACTTCATTCTAATTTTTTTCTCAGTTTTCAAACATACTGAAGTAGAGTCAATGATGACCCACAGCACATGCCGGAAATATTTCTCTTAGTTGCAAGACCTGGCATTTAAAACTGGAAGATCCTCACTATGCGTGACCCTGAGCTTCACAGACTTGATTGTTTCCATCTAGTCTTTTGACAAAGAACTAGTATCTAGATTCTAGGGCATATAAAGGACATCTACAAATCAATGAGAGAAGGACAAACAGTACACTAGAAAATGGACAGTGGACATGAATAGGTAATTCACAGCAGAAAATCCTGAAATGGCCAATATGTATAATATATGAAAAGATAATTCAGTCTCTTTCGTTATCAGGGAAAGGCAAAATGAAAGCAACAGATACCATTTCACATCCACTAGGTGTGGTGTTTCATATTTTTATCCCTGGAGCTTAGTAGAGTTGGCACTCAATAAATATCTGTCAAATTTGATAGTCTATGTGGTCATTCTGGGTTATGGTTTCTGGGGCATTTTAAATGGTCTCCCCATAATTAAAGAGATGAGATCCCATTTTTCACTTACTAGATTGGAAAAAAAATGCCAAGCCTCATAATAATGACGTATTTACTCGCTCTCTCTCTCTCTCTCTAGCTCTGTCTCTATCTATCTATCTATCTATCTATCTATCTATCTATCTATCTATCAATCAATTTTTTCTAAATTATGTGATGGTAGTTACTGATGTAATTAATCCCCTTTCAACAAAGTACTTCAATATGAATTTCCTAAGAACAAAACCATTTTCTTACATTCCTACCAGCAGAGTATGAGGGTACCGATTTCTCCACATCTTCACTAGCACTTGTTGTTATTTGACTTTTTAATTTTAGCCATCCTAGTGGGTGTGCCAATAATGTCCCTTTATAGGAAATATAGGAAATCCTAGGTCACGAGATGCATTCTGTTATCAGGTCTTTTTAGTCTCCTTCAATCTGGAACAATGTCTCAGTCTTCTCTTAACTTTCATGATCTTGATGTTTTTGAAGAGCATAGGCCAGTTCTTTGGAAGAATGTCCTTCAATTTGGGTTTATCTGACATTTCCTCCAGATTAGATTTGGATTATGCATTTTTGGCAGGAATTCCATAGAAGTGACACTGGGTTTGCCTCAGTGTATCTGAAGGCACAAAGTATTGGTTAATTTCAAAATTGTTGGTATTAACTTTGGTCATTTGATTAAGGTGATATCTTCCAGGTTTCTCCACTGTAAATGTACTATTTCCTTTTGAAATTAACAACTTATCTTGTAGGGACATACATTGAGATTATGTAACTCTCCTGTTTTTCCTCAAACTTCCACTCACTAGCTTAGCATCCATTGGTGGTTCTTGCCTGAAGCAATTGCTGCTATGATGGTGGCCAAATAATGATTTTCTTTTACATGTATAGCTGGGATTTTACTGTAAGGAAGAGCTTTCCCTTCTTCCCTATGTATTTATTTATTCATTTGTTTATTTGTATCAGCATGGGACTCCTGGATTCTTCTTTTAATTTACAGGTTAAAATCAGTTAGTATCTTTATTTATAAAAGTAGCTAACTGAGATATAATTTACATGCCATAAAATTCACCATGTTAGTTGTACAAGGCAATGGTAGTATATTTGTAGACGTGTAAAAATCACCACAATCTAATTTTAGGACATTTTAATCACCCCAAAAAGAAACCCTGTGCCCATTAGCAGTAACTCCCCATCTGCCCCTGACAGCCCTAGGCAACCACTAATCTCTTTCTGTCTCTATAGATTTGCTTATTCTGGACACTTTATATAAATGAAATCATACAATATATAATCTTTTGTGGCTTGTTTCTTTCACTGAGCATTTTTTTTTAATTTTTCCCCCCAAAGCCCCAGTAGATAGTTGTATGTCATAGCTGCACATCCTTCTAGTTGCTGTATGTGGGACACGGCCTCAGCATGGCCAGAGAAGCAGTGCGTCGGTGCGCGCCGAACCCGGGCCGCCAGCAGTGGAGCGCTAAGCCACAGGGTCGGCCCTGAGCATTTTTTAAATTGTGATAAAATACACATAACATAAATTTTACCATCTTAACCATTTTTAAGTGTGTAGTTCAGTAGCATTAAGTATATTCACATTGTTGTGCAACCAACACCACCATCCATCTCCAGAACTTTTTTCATCTTCCCAACCATACCCATACCCACTAAACACCAACTCCCCATTCCCTCCTCCCTACCCCGGGAAACTACCAGTCTATTGTCTGTTTCAATGAATTTGACTACTCTAAGTACCTCATATAAATGGAGTCATACAGTACTTGTGCTTTTGTGACCGGCTTATTTCACGTAGCATAATGTCCTCAAGATTCATCCATGTTGTAGCACTTGTCAGAATTTCTTTCCTTTTTAAGGCTGAATAATATTCCATTGTATGTATATGCCACATCTTGCTTATCCATTTATCTGTCGTTGGACACTTGGGTTCCTTCCACCTTTTGGTTATTGTGAATAGTGCTGCTATGAACATGGATGCACAGATATCTCTTTGAGTCCCTACTTTCAGTTCTTTTGGGTATATATCTAGAAATGGAATTGCTGGATCATATGGTAATTCTATTTTTTAGTTTTTTGAGGAACCGCCATACTGTTTTCCACAGTGGCTGTACCATTTTACATTCCCACTAACAATGCTCAAGGGTTCCAATAAGGGTATCCTCACCAACACTTGTTATTTTTTGTTAGTGTTATTTTATTATTTTTTATAGTAGCCGTCCTAATAGGTGTGAGATGGTATCTCATTGTGGTTTTCACTTGTATTTCCCTAATTATTAGTGATGTTTAGCATCTTTTCATGTGGTTATTGGCCTCATTTATATATATCTTTTGGAGAAATGTCTATCCAAGTCCTTTGCCTATTTTTAAATGGGGTTGTTTGTTTTTTTGTTGTTGCTGAGTTGTAGGTGTTCTTCATATACTCTAGATATTAGCCCCTTATCAGATACATGATTTGTAAATATTCTCTCTGATTCCATGGGTTGCCTTTTAACTCTGTTGATTGTATCCTTTGATGCACAGAAGTTTTTAATTTTGACATAGCCAATTTATCTATTTTTCCTTTCGTTGCCTGTGCTTTTGCTGTTGTATCCAAGAAATCATTACCAAATCCAATGTCATGGAGCTTTCCCCTATGTTTTCTTCTAAGAGGTTTATAGTTTTAGATCTTACATTTAGATGTTTGATCCATTTTTTTTGTGTGTGAGGAAGAACAGCCCTGAGCTAACATCTGCCAATCCTCCTCTTTTTGCTGAGGATGACTGGCTCTGGGCTAACACCCGTGCCCATTTTCCTCCACTTTATATGGGATGCCGCCACAGCATGGCCTGTCAAGCAGTGCATCGGTGCACGCGCGGGATCCAAACCTGAGGCCACCAGCAGCGGAGCACGTGCACTTAACCGCTACGCCACCGGGCTGGCCCGTTTGATCTATTTTGAATTAATTTTTGTATGTGGTGTGAGGTAAGGGACCAACTTCATTCTTTTGCATGTGGATATCCAGTTTTCCCAACATCATTTGTTGAAAAGAACTATCATTATTTATTTTAATGCTCAAATTGTTCTAGATTTGGCCAGTGGGAGTCTCCTCGAGCTGGTTCCTGTGTCCTTTTGACATGTCTCCATCGTTTTTTGAGCACATCTTTCCTTAAGATCACATCAGAATGTTTCAGGCTTGTCTCGTACTCTCCCAGTC